GTGTGGTGAGCTCGGCATGTGGGCACACACGTGGATTCAGCAAATTCCTCCCAAATGCTGCCCCTCCCCACCCAGTCACACACCCAGCTGCTCCCCTCCAGAGCAGCTAGAGAGCCATCCACATAGCTTCCACACACGGAGAGAAGCTGGAGACCTCCAAGATAGCGTGACCCTGAGCCTGGGGACAAGGTCAGGAAATGTCACCCACACACCCTTCACACTGTGTGCCTCGAACTTGTCACAGGCCCCCGCCTCCTTGGTGGGTAGCGCTGATCTTGAGGACTGGGAGGTGACTGGGCAGAAGTGGGAGGGCGGGAGGTTCTGTGAGATTTGAGAGAGGAGTGTAACCAGATGGTACAGGGCCGGGGGCCGGGGTGTCAATCCTGACGCCTGCCATTGGCCACAGTCGCTGATGGCAAGAACCTTCCTCTCTCCAGGGCCCAGTTTCACTCTCTGTAAAGTCTGGATGTTGCACTCAGTGATCTGAAAGGGAAGGAATTCCAGCTTGAACCCCAGACTAGGTGAGGGGCAAAGCTGGCCTTTCCCCACCCACCTTGCTTTCTTCTCTAGTCTCTGCCATCACTTCAGGATGTGTATGTATCCTTACCTCCTTTCTTTGCAACAGACACGCTGCAATTTCCCAGATGAGTGCTCCGGTACCTTCGCTACATTTCCTTCCAGTTTTATTTTCCTTTCGTCATGTTTTTAGGCCCTGAAATCCAGCCTCATAGAATCCGAGAGCCAATTAGTGCGGTAAACAAAAACCCGAGGGTATTTTGTAACATGGACACGGCTAGGATTCTAGAATCCCAGAATCTTTAAAATCCTGACACCTTTAAAAGTCTAGAACCTCGATGGCATTGGCACTCTGGCCTCTCGACATCTTTAACATTCTGAAATCTTGGCCTCCTGGATCTTGGCATCTCTGACATCTAGAATCTTGACAGCTGAGAACTGTGGGACTTTGGAGTCTTGGCGTCAGAAAATGGCCCAAGACGGCCACCTACTCGGTGCACGAATCTCTCATCCAGCACTTCCCGGAGGTCGCTTTACTGGTTCTTCCCTTGTTTAAAATCGCCGCATCCTGGTACTCTAATCCCTTCTGTAAACTTTCTCTAAATCCTGGGGCTTAACAAGTCAGGAGAGAATGGTGTCATGGGAAGCACTCTGGACTGGGAGCCGAGGCACTGGGCTCTCTGGTGTAGTTTTGCATCATCCCCCCAATCCCTCTCTGACCTCACTTTCCCCTTCGGTAAAGCATGGGGTTAGGGCGCTGGAGTGCAGGATCTCAGAGAGCCCTGCCTGCTCTCCTTTTCACTGAATGTTTCTGAATGGCTTTGGCCACTAGGTTTCAGGGTGTGTGCAGGGTGCCTACATGTCCCTCTTAGTCACCCAACTTCCTCTCTCACCTTGCCCAGCCGGCAGCAGTGGGGATGGGAGATGGCGTCCATTTGTGTCCTTTCAAAGACGTGTTCTCTCATTCCTGGCTCACTCATCTACCACGAATAGCAGAAGATGGTGAGATTTATGCCCAAAAGAAAGAAGGGTCCAGGGTGGGAAGTGAAAAGGGGTGGGTTGCCTGCCCAGAGATGCACACAGGCCAGAACCTGGGACAGAAAGCGCCGAGGAAACAGATGTCCAGATACAAAGAAAAGACACAGAGGCTGTTCCAGTTGGGGGGCTGTGTGTAGGGGGAGCTTGTTGATCCCGAATAGTGTTTTCCTACTCGGTGACTCACTCTTCCCTTCTAAAGTTCTGACCAGCCGCTCTGAGGACAGGGGGGCATCCCACAATGGGAGTCAGCCCCGGGTCCAGGTCTTGGGAAGTTTCTGTCACTGACCCCCACCCACCCATGAGCTGAATGCCTGAGTCCCTATAGCTGAGGTCAGATTCTGCAAAGGATTCCAAGACCTTACACACAGCGGGGCCGGGGCCGGGGCCGGGGCCGGGGTGGGTTAATGTCGTGCGAGCCTGGCCTGTCCCCATCTTGGGGAACACAAAGACAGCTTTCTCTCTCTGGGTGGGGCGGGGAGACCTGGAGACAGTCAGACTCGCCAGCACCCAATGGCTTGTGGCACCAGGACCCAAGCACCCACTGGTTTCTGCCTGTGCAGACCCCAGGCCCCTCGGTCTTCTGGGAACCGGGCACCAAGGCTCCTCCACAGGCACCCAGGAGGGCATGAGGGCAGCAGCAGAGCCTGGGCACTCCTAGGAGGGGGGTGAATAGTGGCCACTGGGGGTGGAGGATAGGACAGTGAGCGCTCAGTGCAGGCTTGCACCCTTCCCGGAGCAGGAATTCCTCCGCTGACCTCCCCCCCACACACACTCAGGGGGAAACTCCAGAGGATTCCCCCACCCCCTGGGCCTGAGGCCTGGAATCCAGGGAGTTCTGAATATCCCAGAAATGTGGGGGCCACAGGGGAGACTTTGTGTGTGAGGCTGCTGACTCACCCCTAGGCCCCCACCTGATGTTTGGTTTCCAGATAAGAGGGGGATAGAGGGCTGGGGGAAGGCAGGACTGTGGCTCTGGCAGTTGAGGACTGTGGACCTAGAGTCAAAAGTTTCCAAGAGAGGAGTGGTGTGGGGGCCTGGACTCCTGGGTCTGAGGGAGGAGGGCAGGGGGCCTGGACCCCTGAGTCTGAGGGAGGAGGGCTGGGGGGCCTGGACCCCTGAGTCTGAGGGAGGCGGGCTGGGGGGCCTGGACCCCTGAGTCTGAGGGAGGCGGGCTGGGGGGCCTGGACCCCTGAGTCTGAGGGAGGCGGGCTGGGGGGCCTGGACCCCTGAGTCTGAGGGAGGCGGGCTGGGGGGCCTGGACCCCTGAGTCTGAGGGAGGCGGGCTGGGGGGCCTGGACTCCTGGGTCTGAGGGAGGAAGGGGCTGGGCTCCAGTCTGAGGGAGGAGGGTTCCAAGAAAGAAGGGGGCTGGGGGTCCATACTCCTGGGTCTTGGAGGAGGAGGGGCTGGGACCCCGATGCCTGGGTCCTGCGAATACAGGCGCCTTCACAAGGCTGAGCTGAGGAAGAATTGATGCTTTGTGCAAGGATGTTCGGACTCCGCCATTGATGGGGGGCAGAGGGGGTGTTCAATCAGGATGCAGGGATGTACCACCTCCCTAGGGGAGGAAGTGGGAGAAGGAGGCATGATGCCACACACCTCCTGGGGAGCGGATACGGAGGGGTGGCTGTGACCTTCCTGGAACCGTGACCTTGAGACTCCCTTGGGCATTCGCTGACTCAGGACCCAGGAAGTGCTCCCCCACCCCACTTAGTTTCCGTGGAAACATCCACCAGCTGTGTACTCTGGACCCCTGGCTCCTGGGTCCTGCAGGAGGAGGGGGCTGAAGGCCCAGAGTCCTGGGTGTGAGAGAGGAGAGGCTGGGGGCTGGGGACTTCAGGGATTGAAGAAGGAGGATGCTGAGATTTCGGACTCATTCCTGGTCCTGATAAAAGAGGGTGCTAGGAGCCTGGAGGAGCCTGGGAGAGGAGGCGGTTGGGGCTGGTTTCCTGGGTCTGAGGGAGCAGAGTGCTGGATTCTGGGTCTCTGCATGTCACCTGCTCAGCCGCTCTTTCCCAAACCCTCCCATCTCTTTTCCAGGCACCATCCCCATGACGACTCCAGGCTGTCAACACAGTTTAAAGGGCCAGTGCCCTCGTCCCCAGAGCTCAACCCCTCTCTGCCCAGAAAGTCCCGCCTCACCACCCCCCAGCCCCGAAACAAAAGCTCCTGGGACATTAATATTCCAGGCACAAACACTGTTGGTTACTGAGTCTTCAGGAGGGGGAGGGAATAAGACAAAAACCCCCACCCTCACCCCATGTGCACCCTCAAGCAGAGAGCAGGAGATAAATTGGGGGGGCATCCTGATGGCTCTCCGGAGATATTGAGCGTCTGCCACCTAGTTGCCGGGGACCCCTGAGCCTCATTCTCCACGTCTGTAAAATGGGGGGCTAGCACTGGGCTAGCCCTGAGGTGCAGGATCCATGGCTAGGCTTCAAAATGTTTTTTTTTTAAGTGCCAGAGTACGCAGGCAGCCCGCTTTCCTGTGCATGGGCAAGCTTCTGGAGGTTGTCATAATAGCAGTTTTGCAGAGGGCTCCCTGAGCTCAAGGCACTGGGCCGGCACTGGCTTTATCCCCATTTTACAGGCAGGGCACCTGAGGCTCAGAAAGGTTGAGCCACTGCCCAAGGTCACCCAGATGGTCACCCAGGTGTTTAAGATGAGAATAGTGATGTCACAAAGTTGTGGTGAGGCTGAAATGGGATCCTGCTGGACACGTGCCATTCATTCATCAATCTGCAAACATTTATCCAGTGCCAGGCACACTTCTAGGCACTAAGGGCAGAGCAGTAAGCCCCATGGTGTATATCCCTGCTTCATGGAGAATAGATCTAGTGCTGGGGGACAATAAATACGTGAGCAAATGAATAAAAGAATTTCAGTGAAATTTCCACACAGGAAATAAAACAGTGGTGATGAAATAGCAAGTGTTCTGGAGGCGAAGGGATGGGGAGTGAGAGAAAGTCACTCTGAAGAGGTGTCCATGTGAGCAGAGACCCGAATGAGAACAGGAGGCAGTCCTGGGATGGTCAAGGGCAGTGGTCGGCAAACTGCGGCTCGCGAGCCACATGCGGCCCTTTGGCCCCTTGTGTGTGGCTCTTCCACAAAAATACCGACTTCTGCACATGGGCCACGAAGTTTCAATCGCACTGTACATGCACGCCCGCACGTGGTATTTTGTGGAAGAACCACACTCAAGGGGCCGAAGAGCCGCATGTGGCTCGCGAGCCGCCGTTTGCTGACCACAGGTCAAGGGGAAAGAACATTCCAGGCAAAGGGAGGAGCAGGTGAAAAGGCCCTGCGTGGTGACAAGCTCAGTAGGTTTGTAGGACGTCAAGGCCAGGGAGCTGGAGTGAAGTGAGGGTGATTGGAACTGTAGCCAGAGAGGGGCCAGGGCACATAGCACCTTGAAGACCCAGGGAAGGAGTCTAGATTTTTTTCTAAGGGTAATGGGCAGCTAATGAAGGGTTGTAAGCAGAGAGGTGACTTGATCTGTTTTACTTTTTTGGAAAATCCATCTAGCTGCTTTGTGGTGGACGGCCTGGTGGGAGGCAGGCATGGATGGACGCGAGGAGGCCCACACATAGTTCTTAAAGGTTCAAGTAAGAGCCCCGGCCAGTAAGGCTCGTTTGGGCATCGTCCCATGCACCAGAAAGTTGCTGGTTCGATTCCTGGTCAGGGCATCTGCCCAGGTGGCAGGCTCGATCCCCTATGGGGGCCATGCAGAAGGCAGCCAGCCGCTGATCAGTGTTTCATTCTCACATCCATGTTTCTCTCTTTCCCCCTCCCTTCCTCTCTCTCTAAAAAGCCATGAAAAATCTTTGGGGGTGCCCTAACTGGTTTGGCTCAGTGGATAGAGCGTCGGCCTGTGGACTGAAAGGTCCCAGGTTCGATTCCGGTCAAGGGCATGTACCTGGGTTGCGGGCACATCCCCAGTAGGAGGTGTGCAGGAGGCAGCTGATTGATGTTTCTCTCTCATCAATGTTTCTAACTCTCTATCCCTCTCCCTTCCTCTCTGTAAAAAATCAATAAAATATATTTTAAAAAAGTCTTTGCGGGTAAAAATGGTTCAAGTAAGAGATAGTGTTGTTGGACTAGAGCAGGGGTGGGGAACATCCAGCCCACGGGCCATATAAGGCCCATGAAATCATTTGTTCTGGCCCTGCCAACACATTAGGGGTGAGTTAATTAAATATTTGAATATAGCAGGCTAATTTTTAAGTTGATAATTTTGTATAGCCCATGAATAACATTATAAATATGCAAATGGCCTTGGGGGGAAAAAAAGGTTCCCCACCCCTGGACTCAGGTTATGGTAGAAGAGGTAGGCAAAGGTGAATGGATATGGGATATGCTTTGGAAGTAGAATGGATAGATATTGCTGATGGAAAAGATGTTAGAGGTGAGAGAAAGGGTAAGAACTTGCATGATTACTAGGTTTTGGGCCTGAGCAGCCAGGTAGATGGTGGTGACATTTACTGAGATTGAGAAAACGTGAAGAGGAAAACCTTTGGATTGGGCGTGTGAAGCTTGAGATTCTAGGAGGTACTAGATAAACCACTCTTGGTGGCTTAAAAACACAAAAAAGTTCTACTAAATATTTAAAAAGTCCCGAAATAGGCATTCCGGGCTTTTATGGCAGCTCTACATCGTCACCGGAGGCCCAGGTACCTTTCAGCTCCTGGTTGCACCATCCCTACTGCCCTTGTCCTCACGGGCCAACGTGGCTGCCAGGACTCCAGGCGTCAGCATCCTAGTTCCAAGCAGCTCAAAGGTGACCTGGTGGACAAGGGACTTGTCCCCCGCTTTTAGGAAATCTTCCCCAAATTGCCACATGACACGTTTCCTTACATCCAATTGGACAGAACTTTCACATGGACTCACTTAGCTGCCAGAAAGCCTGGGAAATGTATGTTTCTGCGAGGCATAGGGCAACCATAACATACCATCGGGGTTCCTTTGCTAAGGAGAAAGGGATGCATGACATCGGGGTAGAAAGCTAACTCTCTCTGCCTCACCCTCTGGAATTAATCTTTTCCACCCCTCAGCCCCCAAATGAGGTTACCTATCCTTTTTACAGGGAATGTAACACGTTAGATGGGATATTACAGTGATTTGTGTCTACCTCCACATAAATCTTGAAAGGCCCTCCAGGACAGGGACCTTTTCTGACTCATCTCTGGGCATGCAGCCCTGGGAAACCTACCCACTGCCTAGGAAATACTCAAATGAATGAATGAGACAGACTATAAGAGACATGAAGCGATAGGTATCCAACATTTAAAGGTATATCACCAGATGTGATCATGCTTCTTTCCTGTTTCAAAACCTACACTGGCCTTCAGGATAAAAGCTAATCTCCTAGCGTGGCATTTGAGGCCCTCCACCAGCACACCCCACAATCCCTCACCAAAGCTGGACATGCACCCAGACAGCCAGCAGTGGGTGTAGGTCTAGGATACAGAATCAGAGAGCTCTTGGATGCAGGTCCTGGGTCTGCCACTCTTGGGCTATGACCTTAAGCAAGTCATTTCCTCTCTCTGAACTAATTTTCTCATCTATAAAATGGGAATTGGGAGAAAACGTGATTGAAAACAGGTGCCTACCTTATTCAGATATTGTGATGATTAAATGGAAATTATACAGGTAATGTCCTTAGCACAGCAAGTGCCTAATAAACAATCGCTATTGTGATTGTTAGTTTGAAGATGACAGTGACAATGATGATGGCGATGCTGATGATGATTAATCTCAGCTTTGAGCTTTCTTCCAGGCTGTTTTCTCTGCTGGAAACACCCCCTTACTAATCACCTACCTTGTTCCTCTGCTGTGTTAATCAGAGTAGGTTAACTTCTGTAACACACAGGCCTGAAATCTCAGTGGCTTTGCAAAAAAAAAAAGTGTATTCCTCGCTCATGTTACAGTTCTGTGCTGACAAGTCACAGGGGGCAGTGAGTCAGGGCCCCAGGCTTCCAGCTGGCGATCCTATTCTCCTCTAGGCTCCCTGAAGTTCTCTCCATTCAGCTATTAAGAGAGCGTCGGCTTATGAACTAGGAGGTCATGGTTCGATTCCCAGTCAGGGCATATGCCTGGGTTGTGGGCATGATCCCCAGTAGGTGGCGTGCAGGAGGCAGCTGATCAGTGATCATTGGTGATCATTCTCTCTCATCATTGGTGTTTCTATCTATCTCCCTCTCCTTTCCTCTCTGAAATCAATAAAAATATA